AAACCTCTAATATATATTCTGTCTCCCTGAATTTGCCTATTCTAGACATTTCATATCAGTGAAATCATACAACATTTGTCCTTTTGTGTCTGGTTTATTTTGATTAGCAGAGTATTTTCAAGATTTATCCATGTTGGAGCATGTAATCAAAACTTCATTTCTTTTTCTGGCTGAATAATAGTCCATTGTACGTAAACATCACATTTAATTTATTCCTTCTTCTGTTGATGGACATTTGAGTTATTCCCACCTCTGACTATTGTGATTGCTGCTGCTATGCACATTCACGTACAAGTATCTGTTTGCATCCCTATTTTCAATTTTTGTAGGTGCATACCCAGGAGGGGAACCACTGAGTCAGATAGAAATTCCATGTTTAACTTTTTGAGGAAGCACCACACTGTTTTCCACAGAGACTGCACAATTTTACATTCCAATCAACAAAGTGCAAAGGTTCCAATTTCCCCACATCATCACCAATGCTTGTTATTTTCCTTTCTTAAAATTCGAACTATACTAGTAGATATGAAGTGGTACCTCATTTTGGTTTTGATTTGTATTTCCCTCCTAACTAAAAATGTTGAGGATGCTTTTGTGTGCTTATTGGCCATTCGTATATCCTCTTTGGAGACATTTCTTTCAAGACATTACTTCCTTCAAGTCATTTGTCCATTTTTAAATTGGGTTGTTTGTCTTTTTGTTGTTGAGTTGTAGTTCTTTATATATTCTTGATAAACTCTTATCAGGTGTGTGACTGGCAAATATTTTCTCCCATTCCAGAGGTGTTTGTTCATTTTCTTGATAGTGCTCTTTGACACATAGAAGTTTTTACTTTTGATGAAGTCAAATTTATCTTTTTCTTTTGTTGCCTATACTTTTGATGTATATTTGAAAAACCATTGCCAAATTCAAGGTCATAAAATTTTCTGCTAAGAGGTTTATAGGTTCACCTGTTACATTAGGTTTTTGGTGACTTTTGCGCTAATATTTGTAAACGGTACAAGATAAGGGTCCAGCTTCATTCTTTTGTATGTGGATATCCAGTTCTTCCAGCACCATTTGTTGAAGAGACCACTCTTTCCCCGTTGAATGGTCTTGGCACTCTTGTCAAAAATAAGTGGACCATAGATGAGACATTTTGTTTCTGGACTCTTAATTCTTTTCCATTAGTCTATATGTCTATCCTTAAGCCAGGACCACATGGTTTTGATTACTGTGGCTTTGCAATAAGTTTTGAAACTGAGAAATATGAGTCTTCCAACTTCGTTCTTTGAGATTGTTTTCCTTCTTCAGGATCCCTTAACATTTCCTAAGAATTTTAGCATGAGTTTTCACATTTCTGGGGGGAAAAAACTCCATTGGGATTTGGATAGAATTTGCAATAAATCTGTAGATTTCTTTGGGTAATAGTGACATCTTAACAATACTGCTTTCTAATTCATGAACACAAATGTCTTTGTACTTCTTTAGTTATTCTTCAGCAATGTTTTGGAGTTTTCAGGATACAAGACCTACACCTACTTTGTTAAATTTGTTACTAAATATTTTTATATACTATTGTAAATGGATTTATTTTCTTAATTTCCTTTGCAAATAATTCATTGCAAGTGTACAGAAATGCAAATGATTTTTATGCATATATTTTGTATCTGCAACTAGGCTGAATTCATTTATTATCTCTAACAGTATTTTGTGAATTATTTAGGGTTTTCCACATATAAAATTATGTCATCTGTGAACAGATAGTCTTACTTCTTCCTTTCCAATTTGGATGCCTTTTATTTCTTTTTCTTGCCTAATTGCTCTGGCTAGAACTTGAATGGAAGTGTGAAAGCACTCATTCTAGTCCTAGTCTAGTTGCTGCCTCAGAATTGGCTTGAGCATACATAAGATGGTGTCATGGAGAATTAATGAAGTTGAGACACACTGACACCCTTTGGCAGGAGTTCTCCACTCTGACTTATCTGAACAAATTTAGCCATTAAAATCTGCCCTGAAAAAGTCTAAAAGAAACAGGAAAAAGAAAAAGAAATAATAACGTTGAGTGTTGGTAAGGAGGCTAAGAAAAAACACCCTCCCAACTATAGATAGATTGTGAAATTTGTACAACCATTCTGAAAACCAAATTGACAATATTTGCCAAAAGTCTTAGGAATGTACTTTTCTATTCATCCACCAAATCAGCTTGTAGGAATTAACTCCAAGGAAGTATTCATACAGCCAGTAGACACTAAAAACTATTCCACAATATACAAAAGAGCTTGGGGGCAATCTTGAAAAGAATGTTTGAGTAGAAGAGAGGGAAAAGGGAAAATAGCTTAAAAATCCAGTGCGCTAATGAGAAGCTCAGATTAGGTAAAGCCAAGAGAACCCATCATGAGTGGGATGAAGAAATTTCATTTAAGATCAATGAGGTCTTCCAGTCCTTTTGAAAGTTACTTGTGTTGCTGCCAAGTAATTGCCTCCTCAGTAACCCTCCTTCCCAAACTCTTGTATAAATTTTGGTAAATTCCAAAATGCCAAGAAGTTGTGATTTTATTTTTATTGACAGTTAAGGAAGAGTTTTACATCAGGGAGAGTGGATTTGGTGCAAGTCAGAGTTAGCATATGAAGACAGAATTCTGAAGGCCAGGGTATCCTTCTGAATGTAAACATCTCCGGAACCAGCAGAGGTTAGAAGGACTTTCAAAAACCATGCGATTTGTGGAAGTTTCAGACAGTTTTACTACATCCTTCCTGTTAATCAGGAAAATCCCATAAGCAGATATTTGGGTTGAACAATAAAGCTATTTTCATTCTGTTAAAGGAAAAGTTTAGAATGGTATACAACATGTTTCTAGATGTTTTCTTTCGATAGGAATGCTGCTGGTTATATCCTTTCCTCTCTTTGTTTTTGTACTTCCTGATTCTTGTTAATAATGTGCATGTTACACAATAAAACTATTTTTTAAAATACTGTTTTTAATCAACATAAAAAGAAAAAGAAAGCAAAAATCTTTCAAACAAACACAACTTCCCTGGCTGACCCATTTAAATAAACAAATAATTTGCTCTCCTAACTCCTCAACTCAATAAAACTTGGTGGGTGAGTTATCCAGAAATTTATCGCACTTATGTCCTTTTATAAGTAGTACATTAAAACAACTTGTACTTTTAAAAATCCCAGGGGACTTTGAGGTCCTTAGACTTAATGAGGGCTGATTAGTGATTTTTTCCTCACTAAGAAACATCAGGCTCTTTATTCATTCCATCTTGCTCATGGGAACACCTCGTGTTTAGCCCTAAGAGGACTTGGGGGGAAAAGAAGATGCTGTTCTCTATGGGCTCAATCTAGGGGACCTCTCTGGTAGCAGGGGACAGAAATGACATACACATACACACACGCATGTGTACGTGCGAGTACACACACACCTCACTGAAGCGAAAGTAGAGAGATGCCATTTTTTCTAAGATGTAGTCTTAATGGTATCTGCGGGACAGAAGAATGTGAGTTTTCTACTCAAGGGGTAGGTGAAGAAGACAGTGCAAGTCAGATACATAATGTTCTCTCTGTTGCACAAACAATGCATTTTGTTAATGTAAACTCTTCATCTTCAAAACTCAAACATCAACTTATCAGCCCCACCCTGATGTCTCCATTAGTTCGTCTACACTGTCCAGAGGCTATTGTGTTGAATTGCTTACAGCCAGAGCCTGAGTGAGAGGTTGTTAAGCTAAGGACTATAGAGATGGTATCATCCCCAAAAGCTTATTCTATAGATACCTGTGTCCTGGTTGGGATCTAAAATGAATTGCCATGATTCTGGATTGGTCTTCGAGATGAAAATATCTGAAAGAAATTCAAAGGAAAGTCTGTTAGTCTTTCAAAAGAGTTATAATGCCATAGAAATCAAAGCCTGAGTAATAAAAATCATTCCTATAGTTTCCTAAACCTGCGCTGATAGGAAATAAGTTGCTAAAGTAGCACAGCCCCCAGAAGAATTCTCCCCCAACCTCCTCCAAGATACGACCAATGAGCTCAGTTGGGAAGGGAAATCTTCCCAGAGAGCAGAACAGAGAGAATACAAATTGACGGGGCCGGCCCTGTGGTGTAGTGGTTAAGTCTGACATGCTCCACTTCGTCGGCCTGGGTTCACAGGCCCGGATCCTGGGTGCAGACCTACACTGTTTGTCAAGCCATGCTGTGACAGTGACCCACATACAAAATAGAGGAAAATTGGCAGAGATGTTAGCTCAGTGCTAATCTTCCTCAAGCAAAAAAAGAAGATTAGCGGCAGATAGCTCAAAGCGAATTTTCCTCACCAAAAAAAAAAGAAAGAAAGAAAGGAAGGGAATATAAATTGACTAAAGGGTTCTCTACACTAAGAGGAAAGAAACTCTCACTATTATAGTCTTCTAGGATAATGTCTTATGCTACGTCATCTCTGTCTTTTCTCCCCATTTTACTGTCTCTAAGAAACTTTTTTTATAGTCATTCTGCTATTCTTCCATCGTTGTACATTGCTTATCTGTGAGCAAGTAAATTTACCTAGGATGTGGGGATGAAACTCAGCTACCATTTGGACCGACTGAAGTGATAGACACAACGTTGAAAGATCCTAGACTTAGCTGAATGCAGTAAATAAATAATTTTCATCATTTATATTCATTCTTAGAAGTGAGTACATGGCTACCTTGGTCTAGCCGGGCAGACAGCCAAAGTAGAGAAAGCCCAGATTCCTCTCACCAGCAATCTACAGCCTACAAAATGGCATCAGGTTTTTGGGATGGAACATGCTGTGTCTCTGACTTCTGTGTGGGGGCAAAGTGGGTAACCTCAAATTTCCTGTGCCTGCCCACATGATGCGGAGTCCACAGTTCAGAAGTTTGGAGGCACACTTCGTAGCATACCCTCTGTTCTGCTTCAGTGCATAAGAATCCAAGTCTCTGAGGAAGGTGACATGGTGTGCAATTCACTGAACCAAGAGCTTTAGCTGCCACCTCCTTTGGGAAGCCTGGCCATGCGGCTCCTCTTGATGCTTGCAATTCTGCTATTCCACAAGTCCACAGGTAATCCCGAGCCTTCCAGAGGCTCACCCAAATCGACAGTGGGATGGATTATTTCCAAGAACCCAAGGGAATTTCTTATTCAGAGTAGGAGGAGATAGGGCCCCTAAGGATAGCAGAAGTCTAGCCAGTGTAATCGGAAATTCCCTCTTGCTGAGGCCTTTTACCATGTCCCTGTTCTTACAAAGGAGCCCTCGCAGGGGTGAAAAGAGGTCCTAACTTCCTCTGGGAAGGTTTCCTTATAGGGTGGAATAAGATCAATATCTAGGGATGCCCTTATTTATTTGGATACAGTTTTTCCTCTGGGACCCAGCCATATTCTCTTCCACTCTGATATATATATTTTAGTCTCTTATACTTCAGTGTGGAAGAAGCACAAACTTTAAAGTCAGGTTGAGAAATATGTCTCCAATGTCTATTAGTTTATCAACTTTGGATAAATAGCTAAGACTCTCTGAGCCTCAATGTCCTCATTTGTGGAGATAATGACACCTGGCTCACGGGAGATTTACTAAATGATAGAACATTTGTGAAACAGCTGGCATAGGGCTTGGCACATACCAAGAACTTAAAAATTAGTTTTCTTTCCCCTTTTGAAACCAGATCTCTTATATTTGTCCCTTATTATAAAAATAATAATAGTCTATCCCTGGCCCCCTAAACTCCTAAGCGTCAAAGGAGTTCTAGAAACTGGGGTTAGAGGCAGCATCTTTGTTCTTAGTCTTCATCCTCTGAAGTCTATCCCAGAGGGTAGTGCAAGCCCAGAAGCCAAAATTTGAACATCCTAACTCTTAGATCATTGAAAGTATTTTCAGATCACTAAAGGAAAGAATATATATCAAGGCGAGCAAAAGTCTAGGACTGAACATTGGAAGAATTCTTGCCTCTGCAGGTGGAGAGAGAATGAGGAGTCATAGTGGGACTTGTTTAAATCCAAGACTATTGGGATGACATAGAAGCCAAAGGCAGATCTGCGTTAGCACAAATGTGCAATACTGAGAATTAATAGGGGAGGAAGATTATTGAAGGGAAAAAATACCTGACTGGAGAGCAAGGAAGTCATTCTTGACCATGGTAGTGAGTACGAACCCAAGAGCATAGTTTGACTTAGAAATAAAAACATAGTAACAAATTATGATTCCCTGGCCTTAAGGTGGGGGAGTGGTAGGAAGTAGTGCCCTGGGAGCATTCAAATGGAGGCAGATTTGCTTAGGTTCCCAGATAAAGCATAGCTCCAAGCCTGAAATCAAGAATTCAGCTCCTTTATTTTCTCAAATAAGATCTGATGCTCTTGGTGGCATCTATCAGATGTTGGATGAAAGCCCCAAACCTAAGAGAAACTAAATATGAGTGATCAGTTAGCCATAAACACTGAGGTTTACCCTCTTGGAGAATCTTCTGTGGGATATTATGGGTCTATGCCTTCCGGGTCTCCCATACACCTAATCCCTACCAACATCCTCTGCCTTCCCCATGACCAAAGTTACCTCTTAGTCTCAGACACTGACCTTGGCTTATTGTTCTTTATGTACACAGTAACCGAACAACTTAAGAAATGCTGGGGTGAATATATACGAGGACACTGCAGGAAAATATGCAAAATAACTGAAATACGTCAAGTGCTATGTGAAAATGGGAGATACTGTTGCCTCAATATCTTGGAACTGGAAGCACGTAAAAAAATTACAAAGCCAACACGTCCAAAGCCAATGACATATGCAATAACTTTGCCTCAAGATGAAGATATAAATGTAGACAATTTTTTAAGCCCCAAGGCAAATTCTACATAAATCAAGTATAATTTTCCGTTCATTTACTTCTCAAGCTATTCCAATAAACTAAGGTGAAGTGATTCACATCTTCTCCCTTCTGGTTCCTTGATCCCCAGAACTGACCTTAAAGCATATTCTAAATAAAGCTCATTGCCAGTTTTCTGACTCATTTGTTCTTTAACCAAAGAGCAAACACTCAATATACCAAGTGACAAATTGATAAGACAGCTCAGAACCTCCCCCCGAAGAAGGGATGTAGACAGTGCACTAAAAAATCTATAGCATGGAAGACTGGAACAAGAAACTCAGGGAAGTTGACATGTAATTCGGGAAAGGGTGATGCTGAGTAATTGGGGAAAATTGGTGAGTGAGTTTAGGATTAAAGTAGTGCCTTATGAAATGTGTAGGATTTCAACAAATGAGTATTAGTAGGGAAGGCGATTTGAATAAATAGAATGAAATTTAAAAATGGAAGGAAATTAGAAAAGACAGGACATTTCAGGAGAATATACATGCACTTTGTTTGATCTAAGAATAAAATACTGGGGCCGGCCCCACAGCCAAGTGGTCAAGTTTGCACACCACGATTCAGCAGCCCAGGACTTCGCTGGTTCGGATCCTGGGTGGGGACCTAGTACTGCTCACCAAGCCATGCTGGGGCGGCGTCCCACATAGCAGAGCCAGAGGGACCGACAACTAGGATATACAACTACGTACTGGGGGCTTTGGAGAGAAGAAGAAAGAAAAAAAAAGAATGGAATACCCAAAATTGAACTATAGGGAAGCCTAATTTCTTTAGTGAATTTCTTTAGTGAAGGAATGAGCTGGAAAAATAGAGACGAATAGGATTCCACTATTGTGGAGATCACTGTATAAGGCACAGATAGACATAAACGTAGACTTTTAGTTGTTTCTTTGTTGTTGTTGCTTTATGTTACCACTAGCAATACCTTCCTTTGGTGATTGGGGTCATTTGGAGTTTGGAGGAAACATAAGGGACCTAGGCATTGATCTGAATTGCAGTACTGTATGAGATTTTATTGCTCTCTTGATATGCAAGACGACATAATGAAAATCCATGTATATACTCCACCTAATTCTTAGAGATCTACCTTTTGGATATGATTAACATGAAAAATTTCTTTTCCAACTACATTTCACAGTTTGCAGTTTTGCTTCTTACATCATTTCACTACTGTAACATTCACCTATTTGTAACATGTGTTCTCTTCATTACCCTCTTATCTCCTATTCTAAGGCTGGGGCAAGGAATATACAAGATGAGCTTAAAGCATATTGTAGTGCTAGAAAATAGGGAAATGCTTTAAAAATTAGAAGAATGGGGCATGTTAAGGGGACACAGAAGTCACTCTGAAAGAGCTTTGAATGACCAAAGTTGGGACAACTTGAACAATAAAATAAGTAACATAATATTGGATTAAAATACAACCTAGAAATTAATGTTCATGAGTCCATACTGAAATGAATGAAGGAATTGATTAGAAGAGACAGATTTTCCGTACAGAAGAATTCCCAGTAATTATGTAGATGCTCCTGCCTGAAGGAGGCGGAGCTTCACTCCCTCTCTTGAATGTGGGCTGTGCTTAGTGACTTGCTTCCAAAGAGTAGAGTATGGAAAGGAGCAAAAAGGTAACTTTATACTGGATAAGCTTGATAAAATCATGTTTCTCAATTTATGGAGAAATCATGTTGATAGCGTGAACATGTGATATGACATGATGAGATTGGCACTTCCCCTCTACTGTCTTCCTCCCAAAACCCGATAACCCCAGACTAACAATGCGAAAAATATCAGAAACACCAAATTGAGCGGCATTCTGCAAAATATCTGAGCAGTACTTCTCAAAACTGTCAAATTCATCAAAAACCAGAAACTTCTTAGAAAGTGTCACAGACCAGAGGAAGATATGCCAACTAAAGGTAATGTGATAACATGGATGGGCTCCTGGAACACGAAATTAAGGAAAAACTGCTGAAGTTAGGATAAGAGCCGAGCTCAGTCAACAGCAATGTACTCAGCTGTGCCAAATGCATTGTGCTAATATGAGATGTTGACAAAAGGGGAAACTGAGTGAGGAGCATACAGGAGCTCTCTGTATCCTTTGTAACTTTTCTATAAATCTAAAACTATTCTAAAGTTTAAAGTTTATTTGAATTTTAAAAACTCAACACAAAATCAATTTGGCAATATTCTCTCTTTTCCTGCTTATTTAAGAGCGTCTCATGTTATTTATTAAATGTTTGGCAGAATCAACTGAGATTCAACCTCTCTTTACAGGAAGTGTATAAATTATGAGTTAAGGACAATTCCAATTCTCTATTTCCTTTAGTCCACTTTTGTATTTCTGCTTTTACTATTTTTCCCATTTTGTTAAGATTTTCAAATATATCGACCTAAAATAATTTGTAAAGTCTTCTTCTCAAGGCTTTTAACTGTAGTGGTGTCTCCTTTTTCATTTCTGACATTATTTGTTTCTTTTCTCTTTTTTCTTGATGTCTCACTATTCACTTATTAATTTGATTCGTCTTTATAACAACCAAGTTTTCTTTATTAACTTTTAGTTTAGTTTTCACTTATTTAATAATATCTTCATTAATGTCCTCATCTCTACTTGCTTTACAGGCAGTTTCACATGCCATAAAATTCACCTAAGTGTAGGCTATAATGTTTTATTTCTACTTTTTCATTTTTAATATGCTTTTCCTTTTTGTTTGTTAGGTGATGTTTATCTGTCTTATTTTTAGCCTTAAGAAAATTTCAAATATGAGCACTTTAAAGGTATAAATGTCCCTCTACACACAGTTTTAGCAATATCCCACAAGTTTTTGATACATAGTATATTCAGTATTATGTTATGAACATTCTCACCTTTCTTACATAAGAGTACATAAATAGATCCTAGTTTATATGAAGACTATGGTGACGAATGTTGACCACACAATTTTTTCAATTAATTATAATTACATACACAGTAAGTTTACTTTAATGATACATAAACCAAAATCAAACAATAAAACTTGAAAACAAACAGAAAATATCACACACAGGGGCCGGCCCCGTGGCCGAGGGTTAAGTTCGCACTCTCCACTTTGGCGGCCCAGGGTTTTGCCAGTTCGAATCCTGGGCGCGGACATGGCACCACTCATCAAGCCATGCTGAGGTGGCATCCCACATAGCACAACTAGAAGGACCCACAACTAAGGATATACAACTATGTACCAGAGGGTTTTGGGGAGAAAAAGGAAAAAAAAATAAAATCTTTAAAAATAAATAAATAAAATCTTTTAAAAAAAAGGAAAATATCATACACAGAAGCTTGTACATACTTGTCCTTCATACAATTTGTTCTCATATGTTGACCTCTGTTATGATTCTTCTAGTCCTGGACTTCCTACATTAGGAAATGTTTTTAAATATTTTTTGATTTACAAAAGTTTGTCAGTTATCACCATCACTTATCAACAATTTATCATTAAATGTCACCATCATTTCAAAAGTGAAAGAAATTTTACCACCAAAAAATGTGTACATATGACATATTAGGAAAAAGGACAGATTCTTAACTAAATTCATTCAGATTTCTTTGAATATCATTGCATTATCCCAGTTTGTTCTCATTTTATTACAGACTGGTTTAAACTTTATCCTGAACTACACTGGGACCCATGAATCCATTTAAGAATTCAATTCTCTAGTGTTAAATTCTCAAATTCATAATGTATATAATTGCTGATAGTCGGTGGGCAACAGTTTCCTGGGATGCATCTATTCCATTATGCCTTGTCTTCCATAATCACTCTGAATCTACACTTCCCTTCACTTACTTGTTTTCCTTAGTTACGTGTGGAAGGCATTTGTTTAATTGTCTTCTCCATCTTAATAAATCATGGATATTGTATTCCTAAAGATTATGTTTTGTCGTTTTCCATCTGCTTGTGACAGATGGACTCATGGTCTTTTCTTGAACTCTGATAATAGTGATATCAATGCCTCATCCAAAGACAATTATGTCAAAATGCATTCAATATTTCTGGAAACTTCTAGACAATCCCTCCATTTTTTTAATGTCTGAGATCAACACCACAGCCCTGTCCCACATGAGAGTCCTGTACAGCACTAATGAAGTGTCTAAAAATTCCAGTCGAAATGTTAGATTTTAATATAACACATCAACAGTTGTATCAAATATAAATGAGCTGAATAAACCAATTTTTAAAAGTAAATAGAAAAGAAGATCTAACTATATGCTGACTACCAAAAAACCACTTTAAATATAAAGAAATATGTAGATAAAAGGTAAAAGATTTCATACAGTGATAGTGATATACATATATCACTAATCAAAAGAAAGCTGGAGTGGCTATACTAATATCAGACAAAGTAGATTTCAGAACAAGAAGTATTATCAGAGAAAGAGGGACGTAAAGAATAGTTAATCTTTGGGTGGTGAACATGATGTAGTCTGCACAGAAATCGAAATATAATGCTGCACACCTGAAATTTATATGTTATTAACCCATGTTTCCTCAATAAATAAATAAATAAGAAAAAAAAAGAAGTTAATTCGCCAAGAAAACATAACAATACTAAAAGTGAATGCAACTAACAATAGCACTTCAAAATAAAAACTGGTAGAATTAAAAGACGCAAGAGAGAAATCCTCAACGATATTTGAACATTTCAGCACTCCTCTCTCCATATATTTCTCGGCATGTTAAGTTCTCATCTTAATCATCACCTCTCTTCTGTTTTAACTCTATTTAATTGTCTGTTCTTTTATTTTAAAAGTTTGGGTTGCCTATCTCAAGAATTTACAGCCTCTCAATAGATGCGGGAAAAGTATTTGAAATATCTATTTGGTCTTTTTTGTTTTTGTTTCTTTTTGAGGAAGATTAGACCTGAGCTAACATCTGCTGCCAATCCTCCTCTTTTGGCTGAGGAAGACTGGCCCTGAGCTAACATCCGTGCCCATCTTCCTCTACTTTATATGTGGGAT